CTATAAAACAGTTTCAGTCCCTATAAAACAGTTTCAGTCCCTATAAACCAGCTTTTAGTCCCTAAAAACCAGGTTTTAGTAAACTGGTTTTAGTCCCTATAAACCACTTTTAACTCCCTATAAATCAGTTTTTAGTCCCTATAAACCAGTTCTTAGTCCCTATAAACCAGATTTTACTCCCTGTAAACCAGTTTCAGTCCCTATAAATCAGATTTTACTCCCTGTTAACCAGTTTCAGTCCCTATAAACCAGTTTTCAGTCCCTATAAACCAGTTTTCAGTCCCTATAAACCAGTTTTCAGTCCCTATAAACCAGTTTTCAGTCCCTATAAACCAGTTTTTAGTCCCTATAAACCAGTTTTTAGTAAACTGGTTTTAGTCCTTATAAACCACTTTTTACTCCCTATAAACCAGTTTTTAGTCCCTATAAACTACTATTTAGTCCTATAAACCAGTTTTCGGTCCTAAAAAACAGTTTCAGTCCCTATAAACCACTTTTAGTCCCTGTAAACCAGATTTTAGTCCCTGTAAACCAGATTTTAGTCCCTGTAAACCAGATTTTAGTCCCTATAAACCCCTTTTTACTCCCTATAAACCAGTTCTTAGTCCCTATAAACCAGTGTTACTCCCTATAAGCCACTTTTTACTCCCTATAAACCAGTATTTAGTCCTATAAACCAGGGATCATGGAATAGTTTGGGTTGGAAGGGAGCGGAAAGATCATGGAATTCCAACCCCCTGCTGTGGGCAGGGACACCTCCCACTATCCCACCTTGCTCCAACCTGGCCTTGGACACTTCCAGGGATGGGGCAGCCACAGCTTCGCTGGGAATTCCATTCCAGACCTTCACCACCCTCCTAGCCAGGAATTCCTTCCCAATATCCCACCTAAAGCTCCCATGTTTCAGTTTGAAACCATTCCCTGTGTGCTGTCCCTCCACCCCTTGTCCCAAGTCCCTCTCCAGCTCTCCTGGAGCCCCTTTAGGCCCTGGAAGGAGCTCTCAGGTCTCCCTGGATCCTTCTCTTCTCCAGCCTGGACATTCCCAGCTCTCCCAGCCTGGCTCCAGAGCAGAGGGGCTCCAGCCCTTGGAGCACCTCCATGTCCCCTCTGGACTTGCTTAAAACATGAGGATAAGCAAAAATTAAATCATAAGGATAAAACCCCAAATTCCCAAGGGATGAAGGAGTTCTTCCCACAGGGCTGTACCTGTCGTTCTGATACACGTCCACGCTGCTGTTGAGCTCCTCCAGCTCCTCCTTGAGCAGCTGCAGGTTGGAGTTGACATAGCTCAGCTCCAGGGCAACCGTCTCCTTCACCTTGTGGTTACTGGTGGCCCTGCAAGGCAAATCCCTCAGGATCATAGAATCATACAGTCATAGAATCATAGAATCAAAGAGCCATAGAATCATAGAATCAGCTGGGTTGGAAGGGACCTCCAAGACCATCAAGTCCAACCCTTGATCCAACACCACTGTGGTTGCCAGACCATGGCACTGATGCCACATCCAGTCTCACCTTAAACACCTGCAGGGATGGAGAATCCACCACTTCCCTGGGCAGCCCATTCCAATGGCTGATTACCCTCTCTGCAAAGAAATTCTTTTTAATATCTAACCTAAACCTCCCCTGGCACAGCTTAAGACTGAGCCCTCTTGTCTTGCTGATCATTGCCACCTGGCTACAACCTCCTGTCAGGGAGTTGCAGAGAGTGAGGAGGTCTCCCCTGAGCCTCCTCTACTCCAGGCTGAACAGCCCCAGCTCCCTCAGCCTCTCCTCACAGGACTTGTGCTTGAGTCCCTTCACCAGCCTCATTGCTCTCCTCTGGACCTGCTCCAGGACCTCAATATCCTTCCTGAACTGAGGGCCCAGAGCTGGACACAGCACTCCAGGGGTGGCCTCACCAGCACTGAGTCCAGGGGAAGAATCACTTCCTTGGACCTGTTGGCCACACTGTTCCTGATCCAGGTCAGGATCCATTGGCCTTCTTGCCCACCTGGGCACACTCTGGCTCCTGTTCAGCTTCCTGTCCATCCCGACTCCCAGGTCCCTTCCTGCCTGGCTGCTCTCCAGCCACTCTGTCCCAGCCTGGAGCTGCCGGGGGTTGTTGTGGCCAAAGTGCAGGACCCGGCACTTGGCCTGGTTGAACCTCATCCCATTGGAATCAGCCCAACTCTCCAACCTATCCTATCCTATCCTATCAAATCTCCCTTGTTCCATCCACGGGTTTAATTACAGAGTCTTGGTTGTGTCAATCAACAGGGATTGAGTTTTCCACCAAAATCAGGTGGCTCCATCCAAACTTCTCTTCTAGAATGGGAAGGGCGGAAGGTTCTTCACGTTTGGGGTGGGAGGGAGCTGAAAGATTTTGGAATTCCAACCCACCTTCCACTAGGGGCAGCCACAGCTTCGCTGGGAATTCCATTCCAGTCCCTCACCACCCTCCCAGCCAAGAATTCCTTCCCAATGTCCCATCTAAAGCTCCCATGTTTCAGTTTGAAGCCATTCCCTGTGTCCTGTCCCTCCAGCCCTTGTCCCAAATCCCTCTCCAGCTCTCCTGGAGCCCCTTTAGGCCCTGGAAGGAGCTCTCAGGTCTCCCTGGACCCTTCTCTTCTCCAGGTCAGCACCCCCAGCTCTCCCAGCCTGGCTCCAGAGCAGAGGGGCTCCAGCCCTTGGAGCATCCCCATGGCCTCCTCTGGACTTGCTCCAGCATTCCCAAATCCTTCTGCTGTTGTTCCCCAGGGCTGGAGGCAGCTCTGCAGGTGGTGGTTGGGGGCAGTGGCAGAGGGGCAGAATTCCCCCTTTTCCTGGTGCCCACACTGTGGGATGAGCCCAGGACATGAACACAGGGATTTTCTGGGATGTGAGCACACACATGGATGGCTCATCCATGGGACAACCCCCAAATCCTTCCCTAATTAAGAGCAAGGACCTCCAGAGAGGAAATTCAGGGGAACACTCAACCCTTTCCCTGAGGAATCCCGCAGCTCCCATCCCCTTCCAGAGCCTCCACATCTCCATCCCTTCCCTCCCTCAGCCCTTTCCCAACACCAAACAAAGATTCCTGATTTACTGGATTCCTTTTCCACCACCTTTATCTCCCCCATTGCTCCAGGATTTAAACAGGAAAGGAAAAGGTTTCCCCTGCCTCTTCCCATTTATTCCCCCAGCAAACAAACACCACAGGGATTTTTTTCCCAACACTCCATCCATGGAAAATTCC